AACCTAATTAACCAATTAATTTGCAAATATATTCTAATTTATTCACAGCAGATTTTCCTGGCTGTTAAGGTATCTGACGGCAGACCATATGCCGTACACAAGAGCAGGACCCCATTGCAATACCACAGGTGACCCCGCACAGGAATGACCATGCGAGCTCTGGTCCATACACATCTCTATCCCCTGAGGAGAGAAGGAGCTGGCGTTTTGTGCATCCTGATTAGGTTGTCTACGCTTTGGTGAAGCGTTTGTGAATACAACCCCAAGAACAGAGGAGTGATAAAGTGTGCTCACCCATGCTTCCTAAAAGCGCTTCCACAGGATCCCCCAGGGGAGGCCTAGGGGCAAGTTATTGGAGGAAAAGGATACTATGACAACATGTCTGTTTTAATCTGCTTTCCTGGGGCGGATGGAAGCAGGGAACTTGACATTATAGGGAAAGGATGCGCTGTCACACTGGGAATGATAACTGATGATAATTTGCATGCAGAACTCTGTTCTATAACAAAGCAGCCACAGCAGGTAACATTGTTTACTTAGACAATCAGGTTGTAATTTATTAAACCTGTGGATTAAATAAATAAAAAAGAAGATAGGATGTTCTTAATTGCTACACTGCAATGTTCTTTCAGCTCAATGACTGTATAGCTACAGATAAGAATTGAGAATAGCACTATCAAATATTACAGGGATTACCTAATTTAAGTAATGAAGAGTATCTCAATGCACATTTTGTTACCTAAAAATATGGAGTGTGGATTTTAATATGTTCACCCTGAAAAGCTTGGATAGCTGCTAATTGTGCAGCATTAAAAGAAAAGCTGAATTTTCTAGCATTGGTACTTTATTTAAAAAGATACAATATTGTTTTTAATATTAGAATATGGTAAAGAAAGAAATGACACTATTGTACGATTCGGTTTGGTATCTAATTGCTATATTATAAATTTTACCATTTACTCGATTCCTATGATCTCTAGACATATGCAAATCAAATACTGATGTAATGTGGAAAAATACTATAGAAAGGAAATGCACATCCAATTTAGGGTGAGGAAGCCAAGACAAAATTTTATATAATAGATTCTGAATTTTCTACAAGGAAATTTGCTTGACATTTAGTTTTTCAATGCTTTTCTCATTGTATCTTTACAACAGCAAACCTACCCCTTCCCCCAATTATCTTCGGTAGTTTGCTAACTGAGCTATCATACAGTCCCTCAATTGATCTGCTAACTCTCCTATTCATGTGTCCGGAAAAATGTAGGTGACAGTTCACTACAACATGAACTTCAGAAAGTCTCTCGCCCAAAAGGATTCCAATACAGACGATCACAGAAACTGGTACATACATTTCTTGATGCAAAATGTTTCAACATGAGTCTCCTTCCTTCCTTCCTTCCTTCCTTCCTTCCTTCCTTCCTTCCTTCCTTCCTTCCTTCCTTCCTTCCTTCCTTCCAAAGCTCCATTAGGATCTCCTACAGCAGGGTTAGCCAGCTATTCTTTCTACATGGAGAAGCTGCCACAGGGAAAGATTGTAATCTGCAGCTCAAGAAAAAATTCGTGTTAAGAATGTTGGTCAGGTTTTCCACGAATGAGACATCTGAAGATACTGTCAATGGGGACGGTGCTAATGATTTCCTCTATGCTTTGACACTAAGGCTGGGAATAACCTGCTTAGGGCGATGCGCTCAAGGTTGGGGGTGGAGAAGGAAGAAGCCTTGGTATCTGCCCTGTCCCTTCCAGCCCCCTGTTTCTAACACCAGCGGCTCTGAGCTCAGAGCCCTGACTCCTAATTCCACATGCAAACCTGTATTAGGCAACGCTCCAACCGCATTTGAGTGACTTGTTGGGGTCACTCTTTTATTTGCTGTGTTTCCATGATGTATAAGTGAGCTAAATGATCAGTTGCCAAGTCCCACCTTCGGGGGAGAGAGCTGAGAGGAGGAGAGAAAAGCACAGGAAAGAATACAGGTGTGCCCCAACTCACAACGGGGTTATGTCCCAATGAACCCATCCTAAGTTGGCAATATTGGAAGTCAAAAATGCATTTAATCCAGCTACCCTGCACAGCCTAGCCTAGCCTACCGTAAAGATGCTCAGAACCCTTACGTTAGCCCACAGTTGGGCAAACTCCTCCAACATGATGAACACACTGTCAAGTGCCTGTTGTCTACCTTCATGGCTGCATGGCTGGTGGGAGCTGTGGTTGGCTGTCACTGCCCAGCATTGTGAGAGAGTACATACCACATATTGTTAAGCCAGGCAAAGATCAAAATTCAAAGTATAGTTTCCGGTGAATGTGTATTGCTTCTGCACCATTGTGAAGTCTTAAAGTCATAAACAGCAGAACTAGTAAATCAGGGAATGTCTGTATAACAGGAAACAGAGAAAACACCTATCAGGGCCCAGGATTCCAGCTCAGCAAATGCCTGCTGGTCCTTCTCCCTACATGAGCAGTGGGCAGTGGCCACGGGCTCTACTGCAGCAGGCTGGATCTGGCCCGTCATCAAACCTCCGGGCGGTGAAGGGGCAAATGCTGAGCATAGAGAGAGATGCTGCAAACGATAAGCACTTAATGAAGCTTTCTTTAGAGCATAAACAATTACATTCATGCAACAAGTATTCCTAACACTATTGGTGCCAGGCACTGGGCTAGATGCCCGCCCTGCAGAGATGAATGATAATCAGGCCTCGGCCTAGAGGAGCTAAGAGTTAAAGAGCAGCAATCAAGGTGATAAATACTACATGCTGGAAGTGTACTCAGAGTACATAAGGATACATCTAATTCACGAGGGGCATATCCAGGGGAAGTGACGCGGGAAATACATTCTAAAGAATGACAGTATTATCGGGACCCAGGAAGGAGAGAGCCACTTGTCCAGGGAAGCACCGGGACACGGAGGAGAAAATGCAGAATTGGAGTGAGAGAAATTAAAACTTTGCAACAGAGACAGGTAGAAGCACAAGGCAATTTATTTCAAATTCATTTTTAAAGATACTGGACTCTGGACACAAAGGCCAGGGATGGATTCTTAGAAAACTGCCTTTTGAAAATTCCCCACACAAGTAGTCCAACAAGAGTTTTGAGAAAAGCCTTCCTTGTCACTAAAATAAAGTTTGATTTATTTGCCATTTGTAAAAATTAATTTGCTATCTGCTAGTAGAAGTAAGGGTATAAGACACAATGATAAGTGTGAGGCATCTAATTGCAAAAGATCTCACCATCTGAAACTTTCTGAGTCTCTTTCCTCTTTCAATATCTAATACACAGTCAAGTACTGAACACAGACACAAAACTAAACAGTTCCTAATCACTAGTCATTGGAGATTCATTTACCTGCTCATCATTCATTCACCTGCTCATCATTCATTCTTCATTCAACAGCTATTAACGTACAGTGAGTCCCAGGCATTGTTACAAGGTATTAGAACTACAGCAATAAACACAACAACAACAAAACTGTAAGACATTCTCACTGCAGACACTGGTAGAGACTGGAGCTCCAGGCTGTGGGGAAGGGCGAACAGGGAAATGATATGGCCAGGTAGGCTTCTGCTTTTCTGCAGATAGAGTTCCTGCAGGTGCCTCTCCATCTGACCAAGGCTCTGAGCTGGTCCCGGAGGCCTGATTTAACCCTCTCTTGACCACTCAAACCAAGGAACCTGCATCTTAATTACAGAGTCTCTTGCCTGCTATTCTCTTTTTGGTTGTTTCACCCTTGCCCAGCTCAGACATCAATATTTGAGTAGCCTGAGGCCACTGGAGCTGAAATGGCTAGGCCCGGGGTCGGCAAACTGCAGCTTGTGAACCACATGCGGCTCTTTGGCCCCTTGAGTGTGGTTCTTCCACAAAATACCATGGCCTGGGCAAGTCTATTTTGAAGAAGTGGCGTTAGAAAAAGTTTAAGTTTTAAAAAATTGGCTTTCAAAAGAAATTCCAATCATTGTACTGTTGATATTTGGCTCTGTTGACTAATGAGTTTGCTGACCACTGGGCTAGGCCTTTGCTGACCTAATCAGTGAGTGATCCAGGAACTAGATGGAGAGCTTCAAAGCTGTACCCACAGCCCCAGGAACAGCCCAGGCTGGCTCCATGCAGAACCTCCCCCAGAAGTGGAGGGCCTGGCTGTTCTCACTGTCGCACAACTACAGCTAAGCTGAGGTGAGAAAAAATAATTAGGTCCTCAATCTGCATGGAAACATTTTTGCAGGATTTTGTTCTCGCCGTGGAAAACTGTTCCTACGGGATCTATTTTTAACCATTTTATTTTAAAGAGATCAGGAACCTCTTCATGTCGAGATTTGCTCAGTGGGAAATTTTAGAACAATGCCACTTAAAACCAGACTGAGGATGACAAAGCAGAGGAAGTGAGCGAAGGGGGAAATACAGCCACCCTCCTCCCCTTCCATCAGGAGCATGGCCTAGAAAGAGCATGAATACAATATGGCGATGTTTCCTTTTGGATCCAAATCAGTTATTGGAATTCTGAAATCAAGCAGAATTTCATATTTGGGGAAGGTTCAGAAACTCTTTTTCTTTTAAACTACAAGTCTTAACCCCCCCCCCCCAAAAAAAAAAAAAAATGAGGCAAAGGCAATATTTCAAGTAATTGATAGCATCTTGGTTATGACAAACTATTAACCAGAATAGTTTGTCAATCTATTAACCAGAATCCAATGTTCTATTATAGGCACAAAAACATAGCTAAGGAATGTGATGATCCTGATTATATCTGTCACTAAAATCAAATCAAAAAGGAAACCCACTGGAAATAAGTGACCAAGTATTTGGTGAGCATCACCCGGGTGCTGGGCACTTGACATCCATCATTGAAAACAAATCCTGCCCATGTGGAGCCTTTATTCTAACCCAGCACTCAATGAACAAACAATGCTCTGGAAATTAGGTGTCTAAGTCACTTGTGGTTCAGTTTAAAGTCTCTCAAAGGGCTAGTTTGAGGAGAATCACTCCAGACATAGAAATCCATGGTTCTAAGTGCAATTGGCTCAAAGAACTTCCCCTTCTTCCCACAATCACACGAGTCCAGGTTTCCCATCTTTAGGTGATTCATTCTAGAACCAGAGAACTATGAACAGGCACTACAGTATAATAAATGTGGCAGCCAGTCAGCTTGGGCTAAACGATGTTGCAGTAACAAATGACTCTGGCAGCTAGATCAATGGCTTTCCACCACATGGCTATTCTGTGTAGACTGTGGACTATGCTACTCACCTTCACTATAAGACTCAGGCTACAGGGTGGCTTGCCTCAAGGACATACGGCCTTCAGGGCAGAAGGAACAGAGAGTGACAGTCATTCAATGACTCTTAATCTTTTCCTCCTAAGTGGTACAGATGACTTGAGCTCACATTTCATTGGCCAGAGCAGGTAACATAGAGGTCAATGGAGCAAGAATATATTTTTATTCCATAGGCAGGAGTGACTAACAAAATAACCAATAATAGGGTAGATTGAAGCATTCATCAGAGTGCAGCTGGCTACCAAAAAAGATGTAGAAAATATTTCCAACTCTTGCATTTTCCCAAACTTATGATTACTATTAAATTGTGACCAAACTTCTGAAGAGAAATAACTCCCTTTCACATCATAATTCCTTACCAGACCAGAAGCACACAGGATGCAGAATGAAACAAAAATAGAGCCCAGAGAAGTTGGAGGAGACTAATTTTTCCTTCTGTGGTTAGATGTCAAACAATTCATTTTCCCCCTCAATCATTCCTTTCCATGTGTAGGAAAAGAAACTCAAGAAATTATAGTGTGGAAGACTGCATTTTACTTTGCAGCTAGTAAATTCTTCTTAAGAGCCATGTGACCAAACAATGCCAGGTGCAAGGAGACAGGCTGAGATAATACAAACCTCTTGAATTTTTGTTCTGCAGCAATTAGATGGAATCATAATACTGGAAAGACATACTGGACTCATTCAAAAGGGCATCCCAACCCACCCATTTTCTTAGCTATAGGCCAAGGATAAGCTTCGGGATTCAACCACATTAGTTCATATCCAGCATTAATTTTTTTTAACAGAGCTATCTTTATTATTATTATTATTATTATTATTATTATTATTATTACTACTACTAGGGGCCCGATGCAGGAAGATTCTTGCAAGAGGCAGCACACACCACTGCCTGCCCTGCCAGCCCCGCCCGCGCTTTCCCTCTGGCAGCCGCCTTGCTTTCCCTTTTCCCACCCTCTTCCTTCCATGCTGTCTTCAGTCTTCACTCCTCCCTTCCTCAGCATATGCAAATTAACCACCATCTTTGTTGGGTTAATTTGCATACTTGCTCTGATTGGCCGTGGGCATAAAGAAGGTATGGTCAATTAGCATTTTTCTATTTTATTAGTGTAGATTATTATTAAATATATATTTATTGACTTCAGAGAAGAAGGGGGAGGGAGAGAGAGATAGAAACATCAATGATAAGAGAGAATCACTGATTGGCTGCCTCCTGCATGCCCCACTCTGGGGATCAAGCCTGAAATCCAGGCATGCACCCTGATCGGGAATTGAACAGTAACCTCCTGGCTCGTAGGTCTACACTCAGGCACTGAGCCATGCCAGCCAGGCCATCATTAAAAACTTTGATACTCATTTCACTTAATGGAAGGCTTAGCAATGGTGATTCTTTGACACTAAAGAAACCCAGTAGATAGAATGTTGTCTTTTTGACCTGAGATGGTATTCTTTGAGCCACTTTGGAAAATGAGAGCCTAACACTTGTGATGAAAAATTCATAAGCCCTATGGGTGTTTTTTATTGGACAATTCTTCCAACTTTTTTTTACATGTTTAAAAATTTACAAATGTTAATTTATAAATAAAATATTAAGGGGGCAATATTAATAAGCCCTGAACTGAGTCAGCCTTTGAACTCCAGGAGCAAACCCTCTCCATTACAATCATGAAGGAAGTTTCCTTGTCATGGAGGAATAGTTGATAAGCCTTATACATTTAAACAGTTAATACCATTCTACTAGGAAATGTGGCCTCATGTACGTATGCATAATATATACAAGCCATTCCTCCAAACAACATTTCAAGTCACAACATGCACCTAGAACTGTACTTATCAGTTCTAGGTTCATTTGCTAAACATCAACATGCACACATACCCAATCAACGAATGGCCAATAACCAAAGAGCATACTGAATGGACAATTTTCTGCATTCACCCAAGTTATGAACAACTTGTTTTTTAAAACCATGTGTGGAGTTTGCAGTAGATTGCATATGATGGGATGGGATGAGCTTAACAACTTTATGAGATTTTTAAAGTTAGTGACAAGTTTCCATCTTGTTCTTACAGCACTAAAGGAATGGCCAATTCATCAAAAGCTATCGATGATTTAGTTTTCTTGTGAATGTTGAATATCTAGGAAACATGTTTCATAAATAGTAATGATTTGGTTTTAAGGTATATGTTGCTTTATTTTGATTCTTATGTGAGTCTTTTTGGTTTGTTGGTTTTATTGACATTTTAACCTTTTCAGAAATCTTTTATCTTATGAACCTGAGCTTTCAAGTTTTGTGAATTTTTCTTGTCTTGAATTAAGTGAGGAATTTAGGAACATATCTTCCTTACTGAATATAAGCACCTAATAGAAAATAAATGCAGATTACTAGAACATATACTCAATAAGAAAAAGAATACTATGGTCTAGTCCAGGGGCAGCAAATTATGGATCACACATTATCTGTTTTTACAAATCGGATAAAGGAACTTATCAAGTTTCATTAGAACACAGCTAATATAATGTTATGGCTGCTATTATGCAAAAAAATAGAGGTGGAGTTGAACAGTTGCAACAGAAACTGTTAAGTCCTGCAAAGCCTAAAATATTTATCTGGAAATTCAAAGAAAAAGTTTGCAATTGTTGGTCTAGTTCATTACTATATCCATAGTTCATGAAACAATGCCTGAGTAATTTCTTTTGCTCAAGGGGATAGGAGGTGGGGATTCTCTATAAATTCTAGTAGAATAAATGATTGATTCTCGGTGTTTAACATTAGCTGGCCAACATTTACTACTCATTTCAGTATTCACCATCTTACAACCTAATGGACTGGTGAGGGGTACTGGTTCTTCATGGTAACACAGAAGTTAAGCAGAATGAGTCAACTGGTAGAGCAAACCATTTCTGTGGTGCCAGGACAGAGGCCAACCCTAATCAGACGATTGATTTGTAGCAGTGTAAAAACCAACCCACATTTCTGAGAAGATTTTATTGAGGAATGCCAAACACAACTAAGCTGGCCTGTCTCTAAAAACCCAAGTCACTGCTTGTCAGTTAAAAAAGAAGAAATGAGAATGTAGGTTGGCCAATATTTCTTTCCCCTCTGAAGGTTGGCAGTGATTTTGTGGTTGAAGTGACGAGTTGTCCTAAAAAGAAGGAAACCACAAAACCATGCCCATTGCTTCTCCCAAACAGCTGCACCCAGCAAAACACGTTGTCTTCTTCCAGATTCCCTGAGACTGTCCAGGCAGGAAGCAGCTTTCTCACAGGTTACTCTGATGAGAAAGACTATTAAGAAGTCAATCAGTGATAAACTTAATGGGATTTTTCGCCAGTTATCTTAAGACTAAAGCCTATTAAGAAAACTGTAACAAAACCAAGTGATTTGGATTTTTACTGTTATTTAGTTTATTTTAAATGGCAAGCTTATTTGTTGCAGGGGACAGAAGATATCTAGCAGTTTACTTTAATTCCCTTTTATCTTAATGTCCCTGCTATTAAGACCCTCCCCACCTGAATCAATACTCGGTTCTACCAATTCCCAATTAGCCATAGTAAAACCCTCAGGGAGAATAAGAACATGACTTTGTAGCTTTAGAGGGGCTATATGTCAACTCATTTCCTCCAAAGCAGGGTCACTCAGTCAGTCCTTGTTACCTACCACTGTGCTAGGTGCTCTGGGTATAAAAATATAATATAGCATTATTGTTTAAAGAGGTTTTGCTGTCTGGGAGAAAGAAAGTCCTAAACCTTTGAAACATCAAAACTATAAAAAGAAAGCAAGCTATGAAGATAAAAAAAAAAAATACTGTAACAATAAACATAGTAAAGGTTTCTAACCCAGTTAACCCATCCCAGATATATGTGTGTTATCCTCAAATAAAAATATCAAAGAGTTCACTGGCATGGTTCTGATTTTTCCTTTTAAGCATTTAAAAGTGGTCTTGGGAACCCAGGATTGGGGGTGGGGGGGTGGGGGGGAGATATCAACTCTTAAAGTGCTATTTGTTTGGCATCTTCTCCTAGTCAACTTCTACTTTGTTTATTAACTTCTTTTTGGCCTCTGTGCTGTAGTTTCTGAGATTACAGCATGCATCCAAATAATTTCAGGAACTGCTCTTCACCAGACAGAATCCCTTATTGCCCCAGGAGGTGCTGCCGGTAAAAACAACGAGAGCCCATCGACCTCATCACAGCTATGGAGTACCCACTGGCAGTTCTGGAAAGCTAGAGCTAACGGAGTGCATTCACACTCTCTTCCAAAGGCACTTCTGTGGGTACCATTTCTCTTCCTGGCTTTCTGAGGTCCCCCATTACATTGGAAGCTCAGCAGGTTCTCAAGGAACCTGTTTTTCACAACGTTTCATTATAACACTGATGAGATGCCATGGAAACATAACTCATTGGTATCACTGGTTCCATTACACGTCATTTCACTTAAAGTCGTGGGACCTATGAACGAGGTTAAGCGAGGACTTACTGTACATGGCCACACATATCCAAACTGAAGCTATGCTCAGGAAAGTCCCTTAGCTTAGCCCTGGCTGCAATGCTGTGCCTCTCGGGAGGGCAGCGAGCTATGGCAACAGCTCTGTGCACTATCTCCACAGAGACCACTGACCAGCTGGAGTCGGGGCCAGACACCATTTTAACAGCACTAGCAGGTAAAATGCCTCCAGACTTGAATGTACACTTAAAACTTCGAATTACATAGGGTAGTTTCTCTGTAAGAAGACATCAAAGGGTTCCTGCCACAAAGGTGCAAATCTGCTTTCCGTTGTCACACCTGTGAGCTTTTCACCCTCTCATCCAGCTTATGAGTAGCAATGGGAATTTGCA